GTCTTGGAGCTCTCTTAGCCATTGGCTGGGCTGCTTTGATTTCACAGCATGCCACATTTGCCAAATCCTTATAATTGCTGAAGGGGAAGGGTCAGTTATCACATTTTCCTGAACACTGACAAGGAAGAGTATTCTCCAAAGACTAGCAATCAGAGTCAATTGGTATAAGGAAAGTAAAAGTTTGGTTGGACTAAGCAATAAACAACAATCAATCAATCAGCAAGCAAGCAAGCAAGCAAGCAAGCAAGCAAGCAAGCAAGCAAGCAAGCAATAAATGTCATGTATAGACATTGGAGAAATAAAACCTTGAGAGCTTTTGGTGGGGGGGGGTCACAGGGGCAGGGGGAGGTGACTGTAGGATGTTGGTTTGGAAAAAACCCTGTCCGAATTATGAATTGTTTTTGTGCAGTCACTAGAGAAGTTCTGCAAGAAGCCAGGAACACCAGAGGCCAAGCCATCCATCAGGGTCTGAGCTCAGAGCCAGGAGTGCTTAGAAAGCACTTCCTGCTATGTGCCGTCAGCAAATATTGGGAGAGAGAGCTACATTTTCCTGCAATGTTGTATGTCTTTATTTGCAAAGCCATGTGATACCTAATACTTCTCTTGTCGATGGAAAATTACAGGAAGGCATTTGAATATGATTTTATATGTGTTTAGGAGAGAGGAGAGCATCTCATAGAAATACGATGCCTGCAGCAAGACTACTTTTTGTGACCATTTGAATGATTAATCTGTGTCCTTTAATTTAGTCCTCTTGTAAAAATGGGTTTCACTCTTTTACATTTGTTAGGGTAAACCTCTGTACAGTATTAAGCAGCCATTGCCAGAAAAGCTTTCTATAAGGTTTCACACCAGGTTCCCCCTAAAATAGTTTAGTGTCAGACCTCGTGATATAAAATATTTCATCAAATTATTGACTTTCTGCTCTTCCCCATTGAAGCCAGAGGCTGGGATTGGCGCATCTAGTGACAAATGTCTGCTTCTCTCATGGGCTTGTTGCCTGGCCTGGGATTTTTTCCCTATTGGAATAAGTATGCTGTATCTCACATTATTCTGAATGCAGTAAAGATGCTAAAATGCTCTAGGAACTAAAAACATCATAAAGTTAATAGTAGTTTGGTGAGAAACAGTACTTTGAAAGATGTCTACAATTTAACTTCTTGTCCTAGGGTGGCGTGCAGGCTGTGGCCTAATTGCAAAAGCTCTGCAGAGCTCTCAGTTCAGGCCTTGGGCAGGAGCCGCCTGCTCCTCCCTGGATGGGCTGGGGGGGGGAGAGGGAAAAGCGGGTGGTCCTCCTCTGGCCCCTCTCACTGCTGACATGAGCTCTGCCCACAGTAATGTATTACCTTCAGGGGAATGTGACTCTCAACAGAAAACAGGTTGCCCACCCCTGATTTAAATTTAAGATATTACACTTGATCTTAGCCAAAAGGCCGAGAAGCCTTTATAAGATGGAAGCAAAATCCTGTGTTCAGTCCTGGGCACTTCTTACATATGATTATGCATATGACTGCTTGTTGGATTGCTCTCTCTCTTGCTACTTTTTCATTTGTAGCTGCTTCTACTTAATATCTGGTTTTGAGGTGGGAAGCTTTGGTGCCTGCTTATATCCTTCTGCGTAGCTTCTTTACAGAATTTGTATGGAACAAATGGTACTCTTGAGTCACAGAAGCCTTTTGATAGCTGATTAAAATCAAGTTGGACATTATGCATGTGTGTATGTTTTACAATGCATACTCAAGGTGATACTGCTTATTTTCATTTTAATTCAGCATTAAAACAGCTCTGTTGCATATATTAAAGTATGCATTCCTAAGTTTAAAATTTTAATTAGCCATGACTTGAAAATAGTGTTGGTATGTTTGGATGAATTAGGTTGTTTTCAGGTGTCTAACCAAGGACTCTTCACACAACCTGGCTCATTGGATGGTATTCTTCTAATGAGTTTCATCAGTGCAAGGATTTCCAGTTGTGCAACAAGGCCTCTCTTTGTGTGGGCCCTCTGCCACCCCCAAATCAGCTCTAGAAGGTGGGGGAAACTCCTAGAACTGATTTAGGGGGTGCACAGAGGGAGGGGGGAAACATCTTCTTGCACTAGGAGAAATCCTTGCACTGAAAGAATGTTCACCTTAGCACAGTGTTGGATTTTACCCATTATTTCTTCTAGGCTACAAATGACTGGCGTTGATTCCTTCAGATGTGTCAAATACACTGTCTAAAAGATTTATATCCTGCCTTTCCGCTATTACTGTACAGTACTCATTTGAGACCACAAAGCATACATACATCAAGTGATGCTATAAATCCCAGCTGCTCTTGGATGTCAGTTTCAATTAAATTTAGAGGACGTGAAAGTGCTATGTAAAAAGTCCCTTGAAGTCTACTCAGGTGCCAGTATCATGAGACATTTATGAAAATTACAGACCTTTCCCTGGATCCAAGTTGACCAATTTGTTACTGAAGGTGTTTGTATGTGGAGACATCATAATAAATACCACAGCTGCCTTAAAGTGCAGAGACATAAGTGAATGTGAACATTCAGTGCAAATACAGAAACTTTGAGTGTGCATATTTTTTATTTGTGAATTTTGCAAAATTATTTTGATGGCAGCTATTTCCTAAAGTTGATTTTAGCTGAAGTGTGCTTGTTTGTTTGTTTTTAATGGGATTGCCTTTGCCCACACAATTGCTAAAGTTAGTTTGCAGTTATTCTTGGTCTGTGGCATGAATTTATGGGGTACACACAACCACATTTTCACTCAGTGTTCCCTGAGATGTGATTATGATGGAAGAGGAAATAAAAACCATCTTTCGACTTCCTTCAGCGAGACCAAAAGTGCCTTGCCCCTCTGCTTATGCTCTCGTATCCTCCTTCTCTCTCTATTGAAAGGCTGGTAGCTAATATATAGATTGGAGGGGGGGGGAGAGAGAGAGAGAGAGAACGAGAACACACTCTTATTGACCTCTGCCCATGCCCAGGGAACCATCAGAGCCTGGCAGTGGTGACCTGTCTAAGATGCACACCTTGGCTAGGAAGGACTCTCTCATCCCAGCCTTGGAATTTGGTCCCACCATTTTAAAATTGTTTTTCTTATCTCTGTAATGAATTATCCTGGCAGCTGCTTAGAGATGGTTGTTGCCGCTTCTTCGTACAGTAACCGAGGGATCAAATATAGTGTGTGCTTCCAGACTATCCAGTGCTAACAAAATTCTTCCCCCGTGACATAGCAGGAGCATTTAAGTGTTAGATTCACAGATTTCTGGCTCTACATCAGTGCTATCAGTGTGCTAAATATTTATTGGCATAGCACATCCATTTATAGTCATTTCAAGTTATAAATGTTCCTGTTTGTCAAACACCTTCCCCCCTTTCTCTAAATGGCCATAAACCAAAAGCTGTAATTTTTACTTCCCCTTGAGTGTATGGCATGATGACTCTTTGTGTTCCTTATTTATAATGCTGCATATCAGAGCCTTCAGCTTTACTCAGAAAAGTAAAATGGCTTCCAGCAGCTTGCCCGGGGGGGGGGGAGGGGAGAGAAGAGCCCATTTATTTTCTTATACCGCTTTGTGGGGCTCTCTTAACAGATCTGAGGTGAAGTTCTTTACTTCAATGCAGAGAAAAGAAAAGGCTCAGGGCAGGCAATTAAGTTTTTAGAGACAAGAACTGTTCATTGCATGTACTTCTCTGGCATTTTCTTCCCCTTGGATTTATTCAGTGGGTCAGAGTAGGACCATTGAAATGGCTTGTCAGTGGTTTCAGTGGGTCTCCTCAAAATAGTGGCTTAGTTGGCTATCACCTAGTGAGTTCAGTTTTCACTTCCCTGTTTTTATTTTTTTCTGTTTCTGTCAGATCACTTTTGTATAATCTTTTAATAATAATAATAATAAATTTTATTTATATCCCGCCCTCCCCAGCCGAAGCCGGGCTCAGGGCGGCTAACAACACTAAAACAGTACAACATTATAAATACATTCTAAAAGTTAATTAAAATACAAATTGATGGCAACCATAGACTAAAGCTTTGTAGAGATTGCCAAAGGAGGGAGTCAGGCTGTGCCCTTGGCCAAAGGCCTGGTGGAACAGCTCTGTCTTGCAGGCCCTGCGGAAAGATGTCAGGTCCTGCAGGGCCATAGTCTCTTGCGACAGGGCGTTCCACCAGGTTGGAGCCGCAGCCGAAAAAGCTCTGGCTCTAGTTGAGGCCAGCCTAACCTCTCTGTGGCCTGGGACCTTCAAGATGTTTTTATTTGAAGACCGCAAGTTTCTCTGTGGGACATACCAGGAGAGGTGGTCCCGTAGGTATGAGGGTCCTAGGCCGTATAGGGCTTTAAAGGTTAAAACCAGCACCTTAAACCTGATCCTGTACTCCACCGGGAGCCAGTGCAGCTGGTATAGCACCGGATGAATGTGATCTCGCAGCGAAGACCCCATAAGGAGGTGCTGTTATTCTCCACAGTCTGCCTACTTAGAGCATTTCCCAGTTGTTCTGTTAACCATATTACCCCAGGCGGCATCTGTCCTCAGTATGTTCTTCTCTGTCCCTTGCCTTTTGCCCTCCTCTTTCGGTCTCTTATTCTGAGCACATCTCCTTTGCAGAATAGGCCTCACGCTGTCCATCTTGTCTGCTTGTCTGTTAAATTCTGGCTAGTCAGCTAGTGTCCAATACATTCTCTCCATTCTTGCTAGTGTTTTCTGCTAATATCTTAAATTAATTTTTGGTAACACTTTACTTAAATTTTCAGCTTATCAGAACTCACATGTCTGATTCTTTACAGCATATAAGGCAACAGTTGATGTGAACCGCCCTGAGACCTTTGGGTATAGGGCTGTATAGAAATCAATCAATCAATCAAATAAATAAATAAATAACAGTTTATTTTATGTAAAATCAAAAAAGCCAACTGATACTGTATTGTTATATTAATTCTACAGGGCTTTAAGAAGCTCCTTCCTTGTTCCTGTGTAATAAGAGGTGTTCATTTTTTGTCCTTCTTTACAGCCTCAACACACAAAATGTCAATAGAATAAGTGAGGCTCCCTCGAGAACCTGCCATGAACCATTTTGAGGGACCAGCTGAAGGAGAGGTGAATGATGAACTCAGGAGTAGAGTGGTGAATGAATCTGTGGAGGCTGACCTGGAACATTCTGAGGTAGAGGATGAACAGCCCCAGTATGCCAGCCATTACCCGAGATGTGCCAACAGCAGCCTTGAAGGACGTTCTCGACAGGAAGAGGAGGAGGGCACGTTGGCACGGTCAGCTAGCACGGAGAGTGGCTTTCACAACCACACGGATACTGCTGAGGGAGATGTCATAGCCCCAGTGGAGGATGCCTATGAAGGAGACCGCGTGCTGGACAATGAGGATGAGAGTGCCTATGCAGTGCAGTACAGGCCCGAGGCAGAGGAGTACACAGAAAATGCTGAGGCAGAACATGCGGAGACGATTCGTAACCGAACTCTCCCCAACCACTTGCACTTCCACTCCATTGAGCACGAGGAAGCCATGAATGCTGCTTATTCAGGTTATGTGTACACCCACCGGCTCTTCCACCGGGGGGAAGATGAGCAGTATGCTGAGCCCTATGCCGACTATGGGCTGCAGGAACATGTCTATGAGGAGATAGGCGACACGCCTGACCTGGATGTTCGGGAAGGCCTTAGACTCTACGAGCAAGAGAGGGAGGAAGCTGACAACTATCGAAAGGAAGCTCTCGGTGCCCGACTCCACCACTATGATGAGCGCTCTGATGGAGAGTCTGACAGCCCTGAGAAAGAGGCAGAGTTTGCTCCCTATCCAAGGATGGACAGTTATGAACAAGAGGAAGACATTGACCAAATTGTGGCTGAAGTCAAGCAGAGCATGAGTTCTCAGAGCCTGGACAAAGCTGCTGAAGACATGCCAGAAGCAGAGCAGAATGTGGACCCTGGTGATGCTCCTGCTCATGTTCACCATGAAAGCAACCGTCCGCTGTCCGTTGGCGCTAGACCTACAGTTAATGTGGGAGATCCAGTGCAGAGATACAGCAAGGAGAAAAGGGATGCAATATCCCTGGCTATCAAAGACATTAAGGAAGCTATTGAGGAAGTGAAGACTAGGACCATCCGTTCTCCTTATACCCCCGATGAACCCAAAGAGCCCATTTGGGTGATGAGACAGGACATCAGCCCAACCAGGGATAGGGAGGATCAGGGTCCACTAGAGGGAGATGTGAGTATACCAAACGGCTCACATAATAAGAAAACCGAATGTTAAGGCTATGCAGTCAAAATCGCACAAAACTGCATAGCCTTAATATTCGGTTTTCTTATTGTGTTTTTAACTACTTGCGGGGGATGACGACACATAGTTAAATGTTATTTTTCCTTATTAATTGTGTTTGGAAATCAGAATTATTACACTACAAATTCTCCTTTGGCCTTAATAACCTTCATTATTAAGGATTGGCAAAAAAGGAAAAGAAATATAAAAATAATATTTAGATGTGGCTTTGGTAAGATATGTCCTCTCACAGGTTAATTTCTAAATATTTGCATTGATGCATTTGCTTCTAATAGAAGCTGTGTGTTGCTGAGCACGAGCATAGTGTCATGTGGAACTGCAATGGTGTCATGGTCAATATTCTTTTGAATTCTTGTTAGTTTTTCAGTCATCCAGGCAGCAGACTTGTTTTCTTCCACTGCTCATGATCAGCCTGTGTTGATAGTAGATTCAGAAACTGCATTCTTGTTTTCAGTTGCCATGCAAAGGAGGTGTTCCTCCTTCTCCCATTAATGTTTTTGTGTTTGGTGTTTCCTAAAGCACCACTGGATCCCTCAGAATATTTGCTGTGGGAATTCAATCCAGTGAATGGCAAGGCTTTAATGAATGTTTTAGGTTGCTGATTGCCAACTACTTAGCGACTTTCTGTTGAGTAAGTGCTGTATACATTTTGTTAAATAAAATAATAATAAGCAAATCAGGCTAAAATCCTGTACAGTTGACTTCAGTGGAATTATAGCAGCCTAAATGTGCTGCTGCCCCAGCACTTTATCAGATTTGAATTTATTACTTTGTCATCTATTGGTTTTTTTTGGAGCCTCAAAATATACTAAACTTTTGATGAAGCCAGAAGCCAGCTATTCTTTGTGCTTCAGCCTGTACTAGGGTTACTATCTCTAGGGAGTTCTTATTTTGCAGAGTGATTTGCCTGGTTGCACGCCTGCTTCGTAGATATAAGCTCGCAGGCTGCATCCCCATCATTTTCTGTTAGGGTATTTGATAGGAGGGATGGGTTGAGAAAGATAAAGCCCTGTTAACTGATATTTTCTCAATCAACAGAGATTTCTTAAATCCTGCACTTTCTGATTGATACTGGAAATGAATGTCAGCAAGGCTTTGGGCATCGCTATGCAAAAGAACGCGGGTGGCGCTGTGGGTAAAACCTCAGTGCCTAGGACTTGCCGATCGCATGGTCGGCGGTTCGAATCCCCGCGGTGGGGTGTGCTCCCGTCGTTCGGTCCCAGCGCCTGCCAACCTAGCAGTTCAAAAGCACCCCCGGGTGCAAGTAGATAAATAGGTACCGCTAACCAGCGGGAAGGTAAACGGCGTTCCGTGTGCTGCGCTGGCTCACCAGATGCAGCTTGTCACGCTGGCCACGTGACCCGGAAGTGTCTGCGGACAGCGCTGGCTCCCGGCCTATAGAGTGAGATGAGCGCACAACCCTAAAGTCTGGCAAGACTGGCCCGTACGGGCAGGGGTACCTTTACCTTTACCTTTATGCAAAAGAAGTGGGAGAAGCAGGCGCCTTGCTCTTCCTGTCCCCCCCCCCCAATATCTCCCTGCTATCCAGAAATGAGGCTTAAACTCCCAATGCAAGGACAGGACACAACATTTTCCACAGGGAGAGATGCAAGAATTGCCTTTCAAATGAGATAGAAATATGGTGTGACAGGTAGTGCAAGACCTTTGCAGGTCTTGTTTTCCGCACAGCCACATCCCATGTGAAGCTGGTTTTGATTTTCAGCTGTAGTGGACAGTAAGATTGAAGTTTTGTTTACTTGCAGCATAATTTCTGAGATACTTGTATAGATTCAGTTGCTCCCAAATGGTGGGGGTTTTGAGTATTGAGTATATTTGCTAACCTAAGCAAATATATTCAGGCTTTTGTCAGAATTCTGAGAACCCCAACTTTCATATTTTTTTTAAAAAAATCATTTTCTATTCCACATGAATAGCCAAGGGCAGCCTTCATAATGAAATATAGTAGCAAAAATATTAAAGTGATGGAAACAAGTAGGACATCCCAAACTTAGTGCATTGTTCAACTTCTCTAACTTGATGCATGATGATGATGGAGAAATATTTTGGAGAAATAATAATAGCTTGCAGCTTCTAATATTCTCATAGGAGAGTTTCCCTTAGCAAAAGTTTAGAAACCACTAACTTAAAGAGAGGGTCTTAATTAAGAGCACTTCATGGTTTCCCCAAAAGAAGTGTTTTTTGACAATTATGAGTTGACTCAATAAAAGGTATCCTCTCCCAACTTTGCATGTCCATCCCATGCAATGCTTTTTTATTTACACCAAATGCCTTTTGCTCAGTGGTGCAGAAGGACAGTTTGTGACAGCTCTTCCCTGGCTTGCAAACCTCAGACTTTGTGGATTTGTTTTCATGATGTTTAGTAAATGATGCACATGGATGGTCTGGTTTTGTAAGTGGAATGTAACATTTCTGAGGAACACGTTTCTCTTTTCCGCCTCCCTTAGGGGTAATATCCTTTGTTTTCTTTTCGCTTGCCTTTGGGTCCACAGGTTTCCTTTGTTCTCTGCCTGGTGCTGTGCAGCTTTGCAGAGCCTCAGTTTTTCCACAGCAGGGCTCATCTATCATTAACGAAGGGAATAGCAAAGGCGCCTTGAATAATGGAGCAGCTTTCAGGTGCTTCAGGAGCCTGAAATAATGTCACCAGCTATGCGGATGGGATGATGCTGTGCCTGACATTTGCACAGCCAAAGTTTTAGAGCTGCCCTTTGGAGCACAGATGGAATTCCATTGGACCTTTGGTGGATAGAATTAACTTCCAAAATTATGCAGTGGCCCAAGTAGTAGTAGTAGTAGTAGTAGTAATAATAATAATAATAATAATAATAATAATAATAATAATAATTTATTTATACCCCGCCCATCTGGCTGGGCCTCCCCAGCCACTCTGGGCGGCTTCCATAAAAACCAAAAATACAGTAAAATATCACACTTCCCTGAACAGGGCTGCCTTCAGATGTCTTCTGAATGTCAGGTAGTTGTTTATCGCTTTGACATCTGCTGGAAGGGCGTTCCACAGGGCGGGTGCCACTGCCGAGAAGGCCCTCTGCCTGGTTCCCTGTAGCTTTGCTTCTCGCAATGAGGGAACCTCCAGAAGGCCCTCGGCGCTGGACCTCAGCATCCGGGCAGAATGATGGGGGTGGAGACTCTCCTTCAGGTATACTGGACCGAGGCCGTTTAGGGCTTTAAAGGTCAGCACCAACACTTTGAATTGTGCTCGGAAACGTACTGGGAGCCAATGTAGGTCTTTCAAGACCGGTGTTATATGGTCTCGGCGGCTGCCCCCAGTCACCAGTCTAGCTGCCGCATTCTGGATTAGTTGTAGTTTCCGAATCACCTTCAAAGGTAGCCCCACGTAGAGTGCATTGCAGTAGTCCAAGCGGGAGATAACCAGAGCATGTACCACTCTGGCGAGACAGTCCGCAGGCAGATAGGGTCTCAGCCTACGTACCAGATGGAGCTGGTATAATAATAATAATAATAATAATAATAATAATAATAATAATAATAATTTATTATTTATACCCCGCCCATCTGGCTGAGTTTCCCCAGCCACTCTGGGCGGCTCCCAATCAGTGTTAAAAACAGTACAGCGTTACATATTAAAAACTTCCCTGAACAGGGCTGCCTTAAGATGTCTTCTGAATATCAGGTAATTATTTATCTCTTTGACATCTGATGGGAGGGCGTTCCACAGGGCGGGCGCCACTACCGAGAAGGCCCTCTGTCTGGTTCCCTGTAGCCTCACTTCTTGCAGTGAGGGAACCGCCAGAAGGCCCTCGGCGCTGGATCTCAGTGTCCGGGCTGAATGATGGGGGTGGAGACGCTCCTTCAGGTATACAGGACCGAGGCCGTTTAGGGCTTTAAAGGTCAGCACCAACACTTTGAATCGTGCTCGGAAACGTACTGGGAGCCAATGCAGGTCTCTCAGAACCGGTGTTATATGGTCCCGGCGGCCACTCCCAGTCACTAGTCTAGCTGCCGCATTCTGGATTAATTGCAGTTTCCGGGTCACCTTCAAGGTAGCCCCACGTAGAGCGCGTTGCAGTAGTCCAAGCGTGAGATAACTAGAGCATGCACCACTCTGGCGAGACAGTTCGCGGGCAGGTAGGGTCTTAGCCTGCGTACCAGGTGGAGCTGGTAGACAGCTGCCCTGGACACAGAGTTAACCTGCGCCTCCATGGACAGCTGTGAGTCCAAAATGACTCCCAGGCTGCGCACCTGGTCCTTTAGGGGCACAGTTACCCCATTCAAGACCAGGGAATCCCCCACACCAACCCGCTCCCTGTCCCCCCAAAACAGTACTTCTGTCTTGTCAGGATTCAACCTCAATCTGTTAGCCGCCATCCATCCTCCAACCGCCTCCAGGCACTCACACAGGACCTTCACCGCCTTCACTGGTTCTGATTTAAAGGAGAGGTAGAGCTGGGTGTCATCTGCGTACTGATGAACACCCAGTCCAAACCCCCTGATGATCTCTCCCAGCGGCTTCATATAGATATTAAAAAGCATGGGGGAGAGGACAGAACCCTGAGGCACCCCACAAGTGAGAGCCCAGGGGTCTGAACACTCATCCCCCACCACCACTTTCTGGACACGGCCCAGGAGGAAGGAGCGGAACCACTGTATGACAGTGCCCCCAGCTCCCAGCCCCTCTAGACGGTCCAGAAGGATGTTATGGTCGATGGTGTCAAAGGCCGCTGAGAGATCCAGCAGAACTAGGAAACAGCTCTCACCTTTGTCCCTAGCCCGCCGGAGATCATCAACCAGTGCGACCAAGGCAGTTTCAGTCCCATGGTGAGACCTGAATCCCGATTGGAAGGGATCCAAATGGTCCGTTTCCTCCAGGCGTGCTTGGAGTTGTTCAGCAACCACCCGCTCAATCACCTTGCCCAAGAATGGCAGATTTG